AATTGATGCGAATAATCGGGTTAGAAATCTACTGAGTAGGCTCCACCGATCAGCTGATCTTCGAACCAGAGGTTAGTTTGCTTCTAAACCAAAGCGGTATTACTAAAACACGATATTGAAATCCATCAAACAACAATGTCAGCTTGTAAATGAAGTTGTAGTATTTAATTGGTATGTAGGTAAAGTAGGTTTTAAGTAAGACATTGGGAAAGATTGAAATATAATTATAATACCTACCGGTGGTAATAGTGTCTATACAGCCGCAGATAGAGTATAACTCGTGCAGTCGGCTACCTTGTCTGGTGGCATTGATTCCATCTTTGTAGCTCAAACTGTCAAACTTTTGAGAAATAATCAGAGCAACATTAGACGCAAAGGCATATTATCAATGCCATTGCTATCGGGTTGTCTTTCGCAGTTATTCTGCTGATATTTTTGCAGTCACTTGATATACAACTTGCTGTGGTTGTACGTTCTAATTGCACCTACTATTTAATACTCGTAGGACAAGTCTACTTATTACCTACTCGATTAGCTCGATAATCCATTAGCCCGTTAACAGTATATTACTGGCAAATATCTCTTAATAAATAGTTTAATAGTTGTATATAAGTAGACTATTTATATAAACGTGACATTAGTACATCTTTTTTTTATCCGACTTCAAGACAGGAGGCGGTTCTCAATTCGTCGTATTTTTGTGTATGTTACGCGATTACTCCACCATTTGTGATTCGATTTCGATGTTTCTTTTTTGTTGGAACGGGAGTACCTTAGTAGTGGTCTCAGTCAAATTTGAAGAAAATATTCTACTTAAAGTTGGGACATATGTAGATGTTAGTTATTCCAATGAAAATAAACACAGCGAAAATCAATACGCGAGTTGAGACTTATGAGGTCGTTTTTTTTTGATAAAAAAGTTATATTTATTATTAATCGGGTAATCGCATAAGTGTTCAATGTATTTTAGTTGTGTTTATTAGTGTCAATCCACGTCGATTACATATACAAGTACAGCCTTTATAAAAGGAAGAACAACTTTCTACAGATATCCATTGGATTTTACGAAACGGTCTACTACACCATAAAAGGACTGACACCAGTTCTGGTGGCGACATACACATCTCGTTTTTTCATTAATTTTATTGAACAGTATTATCATAATTAGGAGTTGAGTAAAGAAATATATACTTATACTGCAAAACTTTCGCGAAATAAGCCCCATTTGAAACTGATTTTCCATTAGTATGTAAATAATAAATGAACTGTATTAATTGTGTTGTGTTTTGCCTGAACTATTTATTGTAACAGTATCGTTAATTTAACAGAGAAATTCCGAAAGCCCTTGTATATAGATTGTATAAAAATCATAAAAATCATAGGACACCCTTCTTTATTTTAATGTATAGTGATAACTATACATAGTTGATATCTAATGATAACTATGTATGAGAAATTTTATAACTAAATAAAGATTGAAGTATAAAAAAGTCAACGACTAATTTCGTTCGTAGAGTCCTTAAGCCTGTCTCCTAAATAATATAATAATAATAATGTGCCAAACAACCACACCAATTGCCTGGTCTCAAACTAGGGAATTCCCTGTACTATGAGTACCAGAGCACGGAATCTACTGCGGGGGACTTCCCAGAACACACAGACCAGAATTAATTTAGAAAAGTTCATTTCCAAATTTGGTTCTACCTGGAATCGAATCTTCATCCAGCGCCCACATAATATAAGCCGTTAGGCCACTGAGGTCGTCATAGTCAAAGTTGTCATTTTGCAGATGTGACCCTAATACACCAATTGTGCGATTTATAGACCGTTATTAAGTGGTAGAAATACATGTGGTAGCTCATGAAAATAACAATACGAAAATATCAATTTTTAATGTTTGCAAGATTTGATATCGTCAAACTGTATAGAATTTGCTGGTTGGATTGATTTGACATAAATTACCTACTTCCTAAAGTTACCCCGCGCGTAGTAATGGCATTTACACAACAGTGATTTTAATTAAAATAATACTGTACAAAATATACTACTGTACAAGTTAGATAATGTGGTTAGCGATGAGAGAATCATTCGTTTTAGGTTTTACTCATGCATAACAGGTCCTAACAATGTAGCAGGAATGACCGAAATAAACCTATGACGCCATATCGTTCACGAGTAAATAAAACTTATACGCAAAACTTTAAATAACAGTTTGGTGTTAAGTTAGTTGTCGTGTTCCAGCTTACGTTTGAATCGCTCCATTTTTGCTGTAATATGCTTCGCTGCACAATAATATAGATAAAGTTATGTATCTATATATCTATGTTACCTTTGAAACTCTAAGACGTACATTAGATTAAAGGATTTGGTTCGTGGATTTATTTACGCTATGTTGCCCTCCTTTTCATAACTAACGTAATCGACATTCTTAGCGAAATTCAGTTATTAACATATCAGCGAAACGAGATATACAACCACCTCTAATCAGTTTCGTAATGTCTTATTTCGTTTCAGTTTTTGTTAAGCAAAGTCAGACTAATTAATAAGTTGCGAAATGCAAATCCGTTACTTATAACAATGAGGGCAGTAGGTATAGTCAACCACATCACATCGTCAATGTAAATGGCGTTACGAGGGAAGAGTAAAAATCCAAGTGTTCTTAACGATGCTAACATCGTGGAAGGGGTTCGATGTAATAAAAGGTCAGGAAGTCTACCACGAAATTCAATTCTACGTGACTATGTTAGCTACGAAGCTCAGGCGTAATGTCAGTTTTTCAATGAAAGTAATGTCAAAATTCGATATGAAAGCTGTCATTTGACGTTTCGGAGTCTTTTATTAGTCTTTTTTAATTTGGTCGAGTATTACTTATTTGACAGTTATTTATTCGGACGGATGTCGGACGGAGAATGAGAGTAGACCCCCTGGACTTAACGTCGGGGATAGTGCAATGACGCGTAACTGGCATTGGATTATAGTTTTCATTTCGGTAACTTAGTGGCCAAACCAAATACGCATAACTGTCGTGCCAACTAAATTAGCGCGATTTACGGGAATCTATTGTTATCAGTCCGTAGACAACACAAAATAATGCTTACTGTGTAAAATTGAAAGTCGTAGCCATTGAAATAACAAAGTAATGACGTTGAATCATTCTCTTGTAAAATTTGGTATAGTACAGATACGCGCCTTTTACCAATGCTGGGTACATACGCGGATTTGCATTATCCCCAATGTTATGTCAAATCACGTTTCATGGTAGCCTCCGGTCCGATACGAACTAAAACGATGATCGTTGCTTTGTATTTCGCATTTTGTGGTAGACCTCCGGTTTCTATCGAGTCTTGGGACAACACTTTATATCCATTTATCAACACGACGACCTCCGTGGTCGAGTGACTTGCACACCGGTTTTCATGGTGTCGCCACCTCTGAGGTCCCATGTTTGCTCCCCGGCCGGGTCTATGTAGTAAAACTTTTCTATAATGTCTTACTTAACTTACCTACTTACGTAGTTACTACTATACTACTAACTTATCTAGGGGCACTGCCACTGCGACCCTGAGGCATAAATTGCCTGTAATTTCATCAGCACTCTTACCCTTCAAAACCGGAACGCAGTAATGCTCTCATTACAGCTTGGCGGCAGAAATAGGTAAGGTGGCAGTACTTCCCTGGACGAACTTTTTCACAAGGAGCTCTACTTCTACTAAGATGTTAGTAACAGTAGAGTAGGTATGTTTTAATATTAAAATTTGAGTTTTATTTAGTAAGTAAGGCATGAACGTGCAACCTGGGCTTAGTGAATAAAATTTTAAGCAATAGTGTTAACGATAAGTACTTTGCATTATATGAAAACGGAAAGTACAAGCTTAATATTAAAAGCTAGATAAATTATATATACTTACATAAACTTGAAGATATGATCTTAGATATGATCTTCGTTCCGATTTTCTTCGTGTTAAATGTAGTCAAACAAGTTAGCTTTTTGAGTTGACAGTATCTGTCCCACTGTTGGGCACGGGTCTCCTACCAGGTGAGGGTTTAAACCATAGTCCGTCACGCTGGCCCAATGTGCGTTGGAGACTTCACACGTTGTCCCAGGGTTGTTAAACTTCATCGACGTACAGGTTTCATCACGATATTGCCCTGCACCGAAAAGCTCGTGGCAAATTTCAAACATTTCGCATATAAATTCCGAGACACTCACAGATGCGAGACCGGATTCGAAGCCACGGCCTCAGCTTGAGAGGCTGTAGGTCAATCCATTAGGCTACCACGGCTGTTTCCTTTGAAGAATAAATTCGGTGATCAAATTTAGATTCTCGATTACGTAAGTGGGATCATACAAGACACAGCCGTAACGCCTCGCCGCGCGGCAGTATGCGGTACTCGTGTGTGATGCATGAAACGTACCGATTTAAACGTACTCCTACAACACAGTATCGCGATGGCCGTTGCAGCGTTTTCCTATTAATAATTAAATTTTGAGGTACCTGGTTATATTTGCAGATGCTCAATGATCTCAGATATTCAAATTACATCTAACTGAATAATGTCCATAAATAAATGCATTATACATTACAATAGACCTTTTATTCGTATGTTGACATTTCTAATTACACAAAGAAATATTATAATGCATAAAAATTTGTAAAACTCCGAGAAATCAAGTCACTAAGAAAGGTTTATCATGCACTGTTTAATTTCACTTCCTATGAGATCATAGGAAGTGCAAAGGTAGATACATATATATCGAAGTAAATATATTCATGATAAATATTAAAAAATATTTATTAAAAAACTACAATATTTGAAAAAAGATAATTTAAGAATCTATATGGCTCTGAGTTAGTTATGAATAGTAAATTATAAGTTCGTTTTTAAATTTTGTTACTATTACTATAATTTATTTTAATATTATGGAGCAGAAGTATCTTACCTTTATTCTATTTACTGTCGTGATTGATATTCTCTTTGCTCTATGCATCTGACCTAACCCTAAGAAATGAACGAAAAAAGCAAAATCCACGTCACTTTTGATTTTTCGCATTAAATTTTTTAATATTTTTACTCTTTTCATACATTAATACAACAAGTGCCGTGTTATTTAACAATATTTTATTATAACCTTAGATTTTAGAAAATATTTACCTAGTATATACAATATTTTTTTTGTAAAAAGATCAAATTTGTGATTAACCAATGTGAATAACTATGAACAACGTTCAATCACGTAATAGTAGCGACATTACGGGAATGGTAAACACGTGTTTATTTGCTAATCATACATAATACATAGAAGGTTTAATAAGTACATGTTAGAGGTAATGAAACCTCATTTGAGAATACCTGCGTGTATGTGGAGTCGGGTAAAAAAAAAAGGAAATACTTTGACTCCTATCTTTTTCAAAATGTGGAACCAATATAAAATGTATAAGATTTTTGAATAAAATATTTAATAATTACTTCTCGGGCGTGAGTGTTTTCTTTCAGTACAACAGGGAGATAGGTCTATATAAATTAAAATATATGTATTGTATTCTGATGAATTACGACGGCTAACTAAAAACTGAATTCCAGAATACGAGTCGAAAAAAGAAGGAGTATCCGTGTATAGACAACACCACTAGTTACATGGGCTTGGTGCGTCAGAATCCGTGGACTCCGACCAAGCGCCGTGGTCCTATCGCCGCTGAGGTCGCCAGTCCGGGCCCTGCAGTTGTGGCGTTGCCTTCTTTCATAGGTACAGGATAATTTATTTGTAGAGAATCTAATAACATAGAAATTGTAGATGCCTTTCTACGGTTCTAAACTAGGGAAAACTTGATAAGACCGAGGGCGTATTCATACAGTCTAGGATTTCATATTTAAATTGGGGTAGCCTGTTGACACCATCAGATGTTTCCCATCTAAATGTTATGGATATTTTTACCATTCCTCAAAACACAGCATCCAGATGTATGTATGTATGGCCCTTATGATTTCACGATAATAATTAACTCCGTGGCGAATGATTATCATGTTGGACTGCCACACAGAAGTCCCGGGATAGATTCCCGAGTCGGGAGAAATATTTGTATGGCCTACATTTATTTCCCTTGTGAGTTTGCGTGTAATTTGTGGTTGTCTATGTGTTTGTCTATGGCACCCGCGATACTGGGTTTCCCTCATGCGGGGCTATTAAAAGAAAAATAGAAAAAAAATCACATAAAATCTTACTCATTTCTTTTATAGTCGATATGTTGGATGACACATTCGACTTCGGCAACTAAAATGGAATTAGGACAAACAAATTTTTTTTTCATGGTCAACTTATGAATAAGACTACTGCGTACGTGCTCTTGAATAAATAAATAAGTGAAAATGTGTCTGTGGTGTGAATATTGGAAAACCCAATTATAATATTAATGTATAGTGTTCATGGTGTTTTCTGTTGACACTTTCAATATTTATATGTAAGTAAGTATTGGTATAAGTACTAACTATATTGTTTATTAAAGTATAATATTAAGTTTTATTTAATGTCAACACAGCAGTGGTAAGTTGTATATCTGGCAGATATAAATACATTACATGTATATACCTACGATTTAAAATTTTAAAGAATTATGCATTTAATTCAAAGAAAGTTGTTTTTGTTAATGACTATCATTGTTTTTGTATAAAACTACGTACGGTCCATATTCTAAATACGCAGAAACTCTTGACTAAAATAAAATGTTGTATAGAAAATTTTGTTTTTACTTTAGGCTATTGTCTACAGAACGTGTTATGTTGTTATGTGTTGTACATAAGTCTGGGCGTGATTTTGTTAGTTTCGAGTGCGCATTGCAAGTGATCTCTCGCTCGCTGACATCACCCGCCGGAGGTTGCGCGCGAGTCGCGGGATTATCGTCTCTTTGCAAACAATCGGCCTTGCTCTGTTGATACTCAACACAACGTGACATCATACTGCTTAGCTTGGTCCACAAACTTCGTTTTAGTAATTTTTTGTCTTCTAAATTAGGTGTTAACCTTTCAAACGTCAAAACAGTATATCAATTTAATGTAGAGAACCAGTGTAACCCGTACGTAATCTTTTATAAATTAACGTTGTCCGACACAGTGATTTATCTTTATTAAATTTTTGGTGCCCCATAAAAAGTGGTGTGGTTCGACATTATTATGTATAGGAGGCAGTAAGTGGGTACCATTTGGTGAGAACGTGGGCGAAAACATTGACCCTGCTCAAGGTGAGCTCTATCAGTGCGTGGTGGACAATTGAGTTCGACATTGGTACATTCCCCACTGGCAGAAAGGATAATTTTAGTCTGTTCTATCAATTTCTATTGTGCATGTATGTCCAATTCTCATTCCCATCAAAATAAGCAGTAAGATAATGCTACAAAACTTTTATCCACCAAAACAAGCCGTGGTATGTAAAAACGGCCGTTTTCGCGATTCGCTATAATAAATTTATAATATCATTGGTTATCTACGTCGATCACGTCACGTTACATTTTCAGACACATCAATGTAATACCGAAGAGCATTGCGATTTATTCTGGAATCTTATGTTTGAGCTTTCTATACGTCGAAATTCCTAGTCGAAAACGGACCTTGTGAAAAGAAAAACGCATTCCAAATTACATTTTAAAAGTATAATTCTATAGCTTATCAATATACAGTTTTAAATGTGTTTCAGGTAAACATCCTCCAGAATCCCGTAAGCCCCGAGCACCTTCATACACATTTGGCCACAAGCTAGACCCTCCTGGCACTAAGCTAGGACCGAGCCCTGCAAGTTACAATACAGAAGGAATGACTTGTAAAGGTAAACTGATATTGAAAGAAAAGTGACACAAGTAGGCGATTATTAAACAGATTGAACCATAACATTTATTGTCATTTCTCGCCATTTCACTTTGCGTGTCATTAAGTTATATCTATACCGCTAAAATGGGTAAGATTGTCTACCTACGCCAGTAATATCATTAGCGCCCTATTGAAACATCTATACTGCCAAAATGTTCCTTTGTTTGTTCTCCGTGGACACAAAACTTCCCAAAAGTTTTACTTTCCCAGAACAATGCCGTTCAATTATTACAATTACATATAAGTTATACGATAACGATGATGTAATTCGTAAGATAAATTGAAGCTTAATTTGAGCTGATAATTGCCCAAGCCAAGTTAATTCAATTATGTTTGATACGATCTGTAAACAATGGCGCACCCATTCAAGTTCCAGAGGATCAGTAAAGCGTATTCAGACAGGCGGCGAATGGCTGTGAAACTCTGAGCAATGTTCCTTACTTGATATTTAATAGAATCGTAGGTGGTTAATCTTTATTGTCCTATACTGGATAATTGCCTAAGACGTACTGCAGACCAGCAAAATCACTCAGACAATTACACAGTCTACCGCCTACAGTGTGTATCCATATAGATCGGGTATTTTTTGTTGTTATTTTTCTAGTCGGTTCTTCTAATATCTTGTTAGAATAACATTACTTGATGTGGGCAATAGCATCAAAATGGGGTATTTGTGTCCACACGATGCAGTTATGACGGGAAAAACTCGAACGGTCAATGAAAAAAAAAATTGCATGAAAGCCTTAGTGGAGGTTAGTGTAGCCTGAAAGTATGTAATTATTTTGTTTCCAGCAATGACATGTATAGAGTTGTTTTTCAGCATTTTCTGATTCATTCTGCGACACATTAAGTGGGTCATGACTGCAGTCCTTATTTACATAAGCGATGCGATTTTGTTGTCTGCAGTGTTTCTCTGGCTATAAATATTCAATGCAGCTTACCTTTTCACTTGTGAACTTCCTGAAGCCTAGTTTCTTTGACAGTGGTTTATAGCTACACATTTCGTGCCAACATCGAAACAACTCTGTTCATTTGTGACCAAACTTTTGTGTCGTTTGTGTACGATAGAACATACAGAACTTTTAACACTTGGTTGTCGTTTTAATTTGGAATGAAAATGTCATAGATAAATAAAGAATTGCCAGTGGTAGTTCCATTTGTCGTATGACATATAAATAACTAAAATATAAACTTAAATACAAAACATACAACACACAAACTAAAACAATTCATCACCATCAATGCATTTTATGCGTCGCACTGATGCGCATGAGTCTTCTCTTAGACGGGGATTTACGCCATAGTCCGACATGCTAGCCTAATGCGGGTTGGGGTTTTCCGAGGCTTGTGAACCTTCTTCGATGCCCCGATTTCACCATGATGTTTTCTTTCACCGCAAAGCTCATGGTAAATTTCAACTAAAATTCGCACATAAATTCCGAAAAACTTAGAGGTGAGGTACCACAGTTTTTTGAAATAAAAATATATAGGCTTAAATCAATCGATAAAAGTCTCAGCAATTTGCTGGTTTTTTGACTTCACCTGTCAAGTATTCGCCGCTGAGAGACATCGTAGCATGTAGAGACGGTCTTTTCGACTAAACATATATACTCATACAATTGGTCGCAAATGTAATTGTCATTCGATTATGAAAATTCTAAAGCTATAGATTTACTGACTATTATTTTCGCGGTACCCTTAAGACGCTTCAATGGCATTGAATGAATGGTCGCACACGTTTCTCCGCTGCAGTTGATGTCGCCAAATAAGTCGCGTATGTTCGAAGGTGATCGGCGGTGAGTCAGCCGCCGATTGCTGTGTAGGTAGACCCTGAGTATTGTTAAACAGGGCAGCTTAAGCTCAGTCTGTCTTCCACCTCGATGCACTACGCAATAATCGAACCATATTCGAAGTGTGTCAATGAAAGTTTCGTTTCCGCATTTAGTGCCTCTTTATTTAACATTTTTTATTGTTTTGTGATTTTATAATTAAGGTAAGGTTCACTGAAGATGTTTGTAAAATTTTTATATTACAGTATTTTTTTAAATCTCTGCGATATGAATAAAAAATAGGGATGACCGAAGAGCACTAAAAAACTTACTTTAAAAATATTATTCAGTTTATGATGCGCTCTGTGATTATGACTAGGATGAGGAATGTAGAATATACGTAGATAAGAGTAAACAGATTGTTTTTTTCTGTACTATTTAGTACCTATAATTTTGAAACTAATAATACTAACATAAAATGGCATGCTAGGGAGGGCGTCTGGGCCAGCTGCATCACTTCATGGGCGTTGGCCCCCGCCACGTATCCCCATCACCCCTGCGCCTTGCGACTACGAGGCTTCGAAGGCTTCTCGAGCCGCGCTGGACGTGGCGCCTGCCTTCTCCATTGGCATTCGAGTCTCTCCACCAGCGCCCGGTGCGAGTACTCCAGGTGGATTTCGAGAATTTTGTTTCAGCATGTTGTAGTCCGACAAAAGTTAATTTAGTTGTCATCCTAGTTTCCAACTTTGTAGTTATTTTGTCATGTATTTTTTGAGCGTCATACGTATACATTAAACAATTTTTCGTTTCGTAGATTTGTGAAAACGGCAATCTATTTTGTTGGTTTATTTTTGTTATGATTTACGATTTCGTTTTTATTTGTAATTAACAACGACCGATCATTGTAGATCATTGCTTGTAAGTCGATTAAGTTTAAATACAAAATTTGGAATTTGATTTATCACTTACGTACAATTTTATTAAAAAATAGGTATCTATCGAGTTCTTAGGTTTTCGCGATTCCTAGACGATTAGAAAATGAAACTTTTGTTTCGGATCTAAATCGCGTATATTTGTTTTTTTATCAAACCAACGTTTCGGGCTTTTTACAGTTCTAATGATCACGGCTGACTGAGATGGTAAAGTTGTCAACTCATTAGTTATATCTAATATAATGCACGAGTACATAACCACATAGACACGAAATAAGGGGCCATCCATCCCCGTAACACATCAGTCAAATGAGACTTATACATGTAAACTCTCGTTTGCACTGAAATAGTACAGCGTCAACAACTGACCCGCGCGTAAGTCTCAGTATATTCCAAAAATATTCTATTTTTAATAATTACTCTAACATCATGGAAGGCTGTTCTATTCGGTGGTGCGGGAACAATAGTAAGACATCGAAATACAAAACAAACGGAATAACATTTCATCGGTAATTAAATATTAAATATACAGTTTTCAATTCTCGTCCATTATTAAACTGGTCCGTTTGAAGCGAAACAATTGACCTGTATCTATGCGTCTTGCTTTCACCTAGTGCAACTCCCATTACGTCATTTTATTCTATTAATCAAGCACGCGTTACTAGTGTTGCACTGAAAAAAGCTTTGTTTGTATCGATATTTGCCTGTATAATAAATTATTATTACTGTATAATGATTTATTTAAGCAACTGATAAAATAAACCTAATGTACACACGCTAGTACATCAAGCTACCCATTGACATATCTTGTTCCGTTTAACTGGAGGCGATTTTCGAACCAAAGTAGTCTGGTGTGCCGTTGTCCGTACATCTAACGTCGTCGTAGTGTCAAGCCGTGAGTATAATGTATCGATTTTATAAATATGACAGATTTTGGACAAGTAATACTAACTGTTACGTAGTAGATTGTAGAATTCTAGGTATGGTTTTACAGATGACAGAGTTTCTAGAGAATCGTTCATTACCTAGAATAAAATAATGTAAAAACACTATAAAAAATAATAGTTGTCTTTTAATTTATTGCTCTGGAAAATTCTTTTTGTTTGACAGCACATTTTATAACATCTTATGGCCTTGTGGTGCTGTCCTGAAATAGTACCACCCCATCTCTTTCCATGGATGTTTTCCGAACTAACTTATTGCGATCATCTATCCTTGCAAGTGTGGTGACTATGCTAATTCCTCGAAGAGTCCAGACTGTTTATGGATTTTATTGGAGAGACCCGTGTTTGGCAGTGGGACGAAATATGGGTGATGATGACATCTTGTAACAGGCCAGTTCGAATAAGTGGCAGGCATTGACTTACAATTATATGGACGTCGGGTCCGCGCTAAAAAGTGTCCGCACTTGTAAGGCGCTAAAATCGTATACAGAGCGCGACACTTTAGTCTTCATTTGTTCTACGGACAGCGCGATACTGCGATGACATAACAATTTAAATTTCGAATAGGTTGACTTGGGACATTTTTTTCGTGGTTTTTGTATTAGACCCGTCGTCCATTTATTTGTAAGTCAATGGTGGCAGGGCTTAATTAAAACAGGAACAAAACATACTTGGGCATATAGTGTTGTTATTTAAAATATAGGTACCGAAAAAAAAACTTTCATATTTTTGTATTATTTTTGAAGATTTCCTAAGGAATCGGGCCTTAAGGAAAAAAGGTGCTTTTTAAGAGACCGCGTTGGGGTTTTTTTTAACTTAATTTTTATATCATGTTTTTTTACCATTTTACAATGTTAAATGTCGTTTGACCTTTACACGATTATTTAACATCGACTTTTTTTTTAATTTCTAATTTAAAAACTACAGTGGTGTCTGTGCAGGGCAGTCCTTACAAAAGTAAGCTAAAAAGTTCATGAAAACATTACACTCGTTTGTTTGTTCAGTCGTGTAAAAATGAGTAATAATAATGAAGTAAATAATATAAATATGGTAAATGATATTTGTTTTTCCAACTGTAATGTGATGTTTCGAATTCGGGCTGCCCAATCGGAGCGCCGTTGTCACTGTAGTCATTTGGCAGAATATTTTTTTTAAGATGTCATTTCGTCTATTTTTAAATATTCGATGTATTAAGACATTGCAGTCCACCCTATTCTGAACTATACATACGAAAAGTCTTGGTAGACGCACGCGTTTTTGATCTTGTCTGTAACACCTGTCACATTAGGTAAAAAGTCTTCGCTGGACTATTGGTGGTTTGTGTAAAGAAAAACGCGATTTACATCCGTAAAAATTTGATTTTTTCCAATAAAAACCTATATTATATTTCCAGTTCTAAACAAATAACAAAAACATTTCGCTTACCTATAAGCTTTCCTTGTATTGGTATTTTGTCGTTCGAGGACAGTTCTTATCACGATGAATGTAAAATATTGCCTATTCTTTAACATCAATTTTTGCTGCGCTTATAACGTTTATGATTAATGTAATTATCACATTCCAGCACCGAACGCATATTCTATGCCACCTCTGCTCGGCGAAGCCAAAGAAGGAAGTAAACGCGCTGCACCAGCTTACAGCATTACGGGGCGAGGAAAAACGTTGGAAAACAAATCACTTATACCGGGTCCAGGAACTTATACCCCTGAGAAGGCTTTAATAGTGTCCACGAAAAAACCTCCAGCTTATACTATGGCTCCTAGAAGAGAATACAAACCTCCGACTGCAGCCGTGCCAGGACCAGGCGTCTACTGTCCTGAAAAGGTAGACTTTAATGTAATCACTCATATTTCATTATGAATATCTACGTCGTACAGCAAAAAGATTCGATTATATCTAGCTGATGATCGTACGTATGACAAACAAGTTTAACAAAACGATTTTTTTTATCATCATACCTATATGTTTTATGTACTCTAAAGCAGATTTTTAAGTCCTAGAGGCTAAAGTATTTCTACGTTTGAAATCCTTTTTCAAATCTGAAAAATTGTACATATTCAGCAAGAATGGCGGCTAATTAAATATCTAAATTGGAAAAAAAACGTCATAGAGGTGGCTGCTTAAAGTAAATGTTCTTGTCATTAGTACGGAATACTGTACAGAACACGAATAAAAAAATGTTGTGAAAAACACAACGTTGCTCTCTTTGTACATATGGAGAATCACTATTTTTGACGAATACACACGTCAAAAGTGTCTAGGGATCAAGGTATTTTTTTGAATATTTGATGACTCTATTAAAGTTTCTTACTTTAGTCTACGTAATTTATTATATATTTCGTTTTTTATTTTTTAAAATTATAAAAAGAGAAAAAACCATTGGTGTTAAAAAAAAGTATTAGAAGCCCTGGTGTCCTACCACAACCTTTCCAAAAACAATGTTATTTCAATGTAACTTTAAAGTAAGCTTATTATAATATTACTCAAATTCGTACCATGACGAACCTGTCAACCATGTAAAGTATTATTGCAAAAATGATTGAAAGAACGAATGATTTCCCAATATTGTCTATTCCTTACTACAAGTAGGAAAGAGATAACGCTATGTGAACTATATAATGCCATCTCTTTCTTTTTTGATGTTCCGAATCGTCTTATCGTAGTATAATGTTTAAGTACTTAATGTTATTTACATTCAGAGAATATTGACTGTTAAAAAAAGAAACGTATGTAATAATAAAATCTATTAAAATTACGTTTTTCAATAATTATCCGTATTTTCATGAAGAAAAATAAATAAAACAAGCTGAGTCTTGACAGTTAACGTTGTGAATTCGGAACTATAGTCTAGTGTCACCTGCTAGTTTCACCAAGGAGCATATAGATGGCGCTGTCATAATTTTTATGAAATAAACATGGCGTATTTTTATTTAACGAGAATAAATTTTCTATGTGATATTAAATAAAAAATAAACAAAATATTGAAGAGATATATGTAAATAAATAAGTACAACTTAACTTTTAATCATTACAAACGAATATTAAGACTATAAAACTGAAAATAATATTGTTTCCATTGCATTCATGTAACTATTTTAAGATCGCTAAATTTGACTTATGACCAATATTACTTTAATGTTAAAGTCGCGTCATAGTACGAACTGAGTGAATGAATAGTCACAAATCTGCCAATAAAATATCATAGTTTTTACATTACAATAAGCTTACTGTAATCGCGTTATGGTACGAAAAGTCTATTTGAGGTTAAAGTAATATTGTTTAAGAGGTTGTGTTATTAGAAACGTGCTTGATCTCTAGACACTGTTGATGTGTATATTTTTTGTTAAACGTGTTTGTTATTACATTTTCATCAATCAGATTCACCAGTTTAATGTTATTTTTAATCTGCTTATTTCTTCCCTCACAAAATATGATCCTTTAAAACCATTGACTTACAATTATATGGACGTAGGGTCCGCGCTAAAAAGTGTCCGCACTTGTAAGGCGCTAAAATCGTATACAGAGCGCTATCTCCGCTTTAGTCTTCATTTGTTCTACTGACAGCGCGATACTGCGATGACATTACAATTTAAATTTCGAATAGGTTGACTTGGGACATTTTTTTCGTGGTTTTTGTATTAGACCCGTCGTCCATTTATTTGTAAGTCAATGTTTAAAACTGATATTTTATGTTTGATACTAACCTGAACGGGTACATGCGACAGGTTTGCGTGAATTTGCCGTGGGCGCCTGCGCATACGTTCGGGATTCGACATTCGCCGTTTGCAAGCTTGAGCTCGCACTTCCCTGCACCTGAAGGGATCTCTGTCTAACAGTCTTCTTCAGTGCAAAAGACAATAAAACCGCCGAATTGCCGACTCAAATGTTTTGCGTAAAATTTAATAATTTAATGGCACTGGTATTAACCGTAACTTCCAATGTAAAAAAAATCATATTAAATACTGTTTTAGAAATAGATTATTGCTATTTATCAAACTAGATGGCTTTCGTGGATGAGAGCAATTTATTTAAATTTATATTTTGTGTCTAATATTTTTGCATGCTGCCAAGTCTCCGTTCCTATTCGCCTTTTAGAGATTAAAAGGTACCTACTTTCAAACACTTTCTAATATTTGGATTTTTATTAAGCGTAGTTCTATCTGTTCTAAACGAATGTGTTCGTAGAAGTATTATGTGTCAATATTTAAATTAAATTAAATATACATATAAGCAAGTAGTGAGAAGTAGTTCGTAATTAGACTATTGTTCCGCTTTGTTGTTTGAATCCTATTTATTTGACGATGAATAACTTTTACTTACTTTTTAGTTTTACTTTTCTCGTTTCAGGTCGATATAGTGCGACGGGAGAAATCACCCCATCATTCAATTGCTGTGACTAAATCTAAAACTGTTGGAGGCGATCAAGTTCCTGCACCTAACGCCTACTGTCCCGAAAAGGCAGATAAATTTCTAAGAGCGAAGTCACCGGCGTTTTCATTTAGAACTAAGACTGAAATCGTTAAGGTACATGACGCACCTGCCCCAAATGTCTATTCTCCTGAAAAAGCTATACATTCTCTTAAGAGCGGCCCTAAATACACACTTGCGGGAAAAGGTGTTGCTGAAAAGTTGGAGGTAACACCTGGTCCTAATTATTATAATCCTCAAAAGGCAGATAAAATTTTGCACGAAAGCTCGCCGGCTTATACAATACGCTCAAAAGAAATTGTGGAGAAGGTTGAACAAACGCCCGCTCCGAATATATACGCTCCTGAGAGATCAATTCATATGCTAAATGGTGGGCCTAAATTTACTATGTCTGGTAAGATAGGACACATTAAGTTACCAGATACGCCAGCGCCAAACAGCTACAATCCTGAGAAAGCTGACAAGGTACTACATGAACATTCACCAGCTTATTCCTTCAGGATCAAAGAGCAATCCGTAGTAAGAAGTGAATCTCCAGCTCCAAATGTATACGCTCCTGAAAGATCAATGCACTTGTTAGATAGTTCTCCGAAATTTACCATCAGCGGCAAAGGTGCTACTGGCAAGATAGAGAACACACCAGCCCCTAATAATTATTGTCCAGAAAAAGCTGATAAATTGTTGCATGACTCTTCGCCAGCATATACATTCAGATCAAAAGATCAAATGCATAAAATAGATGTCACTCCAGCCCCTAACGTATATGCACCCGAAAAATCCATGCATATGCTAGATGGCGCTCCTAAATATACTATTACTGGAAAAGGCCTACTAACAAAAATTTACGACACACCAGCACCGAATGCTTACAACCCAGATAAAGCTGATAAATTATTACACGAATCTTCTCCATCGTATACGTTTAGATCGAAAATACCTGTCGGCGAACAGAATGATGTGCCTGGTCCGAACGTATATGACCCTCATTTGTTAGATGGCACACCAAAATATAGTTTGTATGGTAGAGGTCCTAATGAGAAACCATCCGACACTCCTGGACCTAATGCTTACAATCCTCATTTATTAACCGGATCACCTAAGATCACGATTGCAGGTAAAGGTTCATCTGATAAACCCTCTGATGTACCAGCTCCTAACGCTTATGATCCTCATCTGCCTGATAATACTCCAAAATATACCATATTAGGCAGAGGTCCTGATGGCAAACCATCAGATACTCCTGGACCTAATCACTATGAACCTCATTTGCCTAGCAGTTCCCCACGATATACTATATCTGGTAAAGGGATAGACGAAAAAGTTTCCGATGTTCCAGCTCCAAATACTTATGATCCACGCTTACTCGATGGTACACCCAAGTTCACTATAGCGGGTAAAGGGCTATGCGATAAGCCATCCGATACACCTGGTCCAAGTGCTTATGATCCTAACTTACCTCACAATTCACCAAAATATACAATTTCTGGTAAAGGCCCGCTTGCAAAAGTAATTGATACACCGGCCCCCAACACTTATTGTCCTGATAAAGCCGATACAATATTGCATGAAAGCTCTCCGGCCTATACATTCCGAACTAAGGAACCGCTTCATAAACCTGTCGACAATCCAGCGCCTAATGCGTATGATCCTAGTAAATATGATTATATGTTAGACGGAGTTCCTAAGTACAGCTTTGGTGTTAAGGGGCCAGCGGAAAAAATTTCAAACAATCCGGCACCAAATACATACTGTCCAGAAAAAGCTGATAAAATTCTTCACGAAACATCCCCTGCTTACACATTCCGACCAAAAATTAGTAATGATAAAGTTCCTGATACACCTGGACCAACTGCTTATGACCCTCAAAAGGCTGATAAGATTTTGTTAGACAGTGCACCGAGATATTCGTTTAGAATAAAAACAAATCCACATAAATCAGACAGCGTCCCAGCGCCCAACAGCTATAGTCCTGATAAAGCGGATAAAGTATTGATGCAGAATGCTCCTCAATACACTTTTAGAATCAAAACAAATGCTTTAAAAGTTTCTGATAGTCCTGGTAAGTTTTATGTATACTTTTTCTAAAATCCCTTTTTTTAGTTATACAGGGCATCCCACGGCTATAGAATACAGAGAAAGAAAGTAGTTGAAATAGGTACTATTAATAGGATTTTTAGCTTCATGGAGATAATGACATAATATATATTTTAATTTGAAAAGTACTGAATTCAAAGACTTAAAAAATTGCTTGCTTCATCTAAGTATCGAACCGATCAAATGTGAAAAAAAAACATGTTATATTTTTATGATGCCGTTTGCAAAGGTCTATTATGGATTTATTACTTTTAAGTAACACAGTATCTTCATTTAGTAGAACACCTTCCTGTACAATCAGGCAAGCAATTATTAAGTCTTTGAATAAGTACCACGTATTTAAAAAAATGAAATAAGTCTCCATGAAGTAAAATATTCTATTTACAATCTTTAAACTATTTCGTGTCACATAACCGTGGGATTCCCTGTATATTTTAATTATTCGTATTGATTATTTTCATTGTCTCTTACAGCGCCAAACTCTTATAATATCCCTATTCCTGTGAAGACACCTTTGTACACGATTTCTGGTAGACACAAAGAACCAATCGATGAGCGCCTTAAAGTACCAGCTCCAGGTGCCTATAGTCCTGAGAAGGGAAACAAGTTTGTCCTGACATACTCGCCTTCGTACACATTTGGGATAAAAATTCACACGGACAAATATGGTGATACACCAGGTATTATTATAATTTATTAATAATTAAAAGATATGAAATATGCTTTCCTACTTCTGTACCGTAATAAAAAAAAATAATTTCAGCTCCAAATTCGTACCGCATCCCGTCTGTGTTAGACACACCCGTATACACTATATCAGGACGGCACAAAGTGCCAGTCGACGATCGCGTGCGAGTGCCCGCGCCTGGCACCTATTCACCGGAAAAGGTAAATTGTAATCGAGGATGTTCCTGAATGAATATTAATTTAATGTTAGTCCTTATTAATCGCATTTGAACCAAAGGTGCAATATTCTCTGACTTCCTTGACTCAAGTCTGTTTCAATAGAATTGTTGAAAATTACAAGGCACTGTACATTTTCATTAAAAATTGTTTAAAATTTGTAGGTACAGTTAAATAAAACACCACAAATCACGTTTGGGATAAAACACTCTCCTTTGTTGGGACAACTAAAACCCATTGAACCTTATCGGCCTGACGAGAAGGAAAAAATTAAGAAGATACTTAGTAATACTACGCAAGATGTATCACGCAATAAAGAAATTTTACAAACTGATGTTAATCAAACTCACAAAAAGGGCAAATATATTGTTGTACTACATAGCGACAATGTTGAAAACAGCGATGTACAAATTCAGGAAAAAATTGATGAGTTGGCCGATTCCACATTAATCCAACGTATTCAAAATGATAGACAAAATGCTGTTCAAAATGGCGGCGCCGTTGAAAATCGCGAATTGCAAGTTCAGAAAAATGTAAAATTGACAAACGATTCTGCGCTAATGCAAACTACCCACGCGCATGTTACACAAATACGAGACACTGAAATCAGAAGTTCAACGCCAGACCAGGTTCAAGAAACGTTGACTCAAGAGTTGGTTTGGATTCCAGAAAAACCAATTCGCCGAGGCTCATACACCATTGATAAAGGAGACTCCTTTACGGAAAAATTCCAAAGTAGTGAAATAGTCCCTGTGGGAAATGGAGTCATTCGAACTACAGCACAGGGTGTGAGAGGAGCAACTCGCTCTGAAGAAAATACTAGCGAGATAGTTCAACGAGAAGGATTTCAACAGAGCACCCAGACAAACCTAAAGAAAGCAAGTGCTCACGAAAAAACACAAGCTGCTGCTGAAGAAGTTCATACTGGTACCGAAGTGCAGCATCTTCCCAATGGGGGTATTTCTAAAACCACAACGACTACAACTGTTAGAAAGATGGGATCGTCAGCGAAGACAGCGAATGCCTCTACTACCATTTCACGTACTGCTACTGTAGTGACGTCACGTGACGTGGGTACTAAGTAATATTTTTGAAACCCTTGCAGAAACTACGCTCAATAAAAAGGCGTATAATATATTCTTTAATTGTTACAGCTTATAATAATGTGCAGTCGCGTTTAGGACTAACCAACTTTATATATTTTTTTTATTTGTTATTCATAATACAACGGTTCGTTTTTCTATTTTGCTAGAAAAATGCGATCTCTTACAATAATTGTTGCATGTTATTTATTACGCTCACGAGAATTTTGTCGTTGCCTAATCTTTAAGGAAAATTGCCTTATTATATGAAAATAATGTTACTAATATTGTTAAAAGCAATGCAGATTTTATTAATAAACTTTATTATTTACCAATCTATTGTTGGGTTTCATTGACAATTTTGCGTTAGGTACGGTTCTGATGTAAATTCACCTTGAGTGGTATCGAATGTTTTACATACGTACATAACTTTCATGTTAAGTTTTAATTTATTACTATAGTTCCAACGATTTGATAAATAGAAAACATATTTATATCTTACTTTATACCTATCCAGTGCAAAATATAAGTATATTGTTAAATAAACCATAAAATTAATTTTCATTTTGGTTTGTAATATTTTATATAGGTACTATTATAGTGTAGTTTGATATTTGCGGTTTAGGCACTCCTTACCTTTGTACATGTCCTCGATGGGTTTTACTTATGAATCTTGCTCTTCAACATTTGAAACAAGTGAGGCCGGTAGTTAAATATATGAATTTAATGGTACCATTACATTTAATGCATATATTACGTGTACGTTGATGAGTTTTTTTTATAAAACAGAAACTCCATATGAGATAAATAGGGGCACTTAGCATGCACAATAAAGCAATTGTGCATGGTAAATGCCCCTATCTACTTCAATGTTTTCCGTACTGATTTTATTCCATGAAACTCAAACACGAAAATTTTATTGATTGAGACTCCCATCATTATTATATTATTATTATTAAAATAGTTATTTTTAATATCTCCTGGCTTGTAGAGTACTAAAATTTGACTGTGCTCTTGCTTTTAGCGGTAAGTTTTATTGGCATACACAAATAAGCATCAACTTATAATAAATTATGGTTCTGTAAGAACAAACACGTGTACATTGTATTATACATGCTGTTCAATTAAAGACTTATTTATTGTACTTTGACGCAAATGGTTTAAAAATAAATTTTTATCATTTAAAAAATCCTGTACAATTGCTGTAGCGGATGTTTTTGTATGATAAGTGGTATGAGACTGACGGAAATGCTCCAGAATGGTGCGTGGATAAATAAATGGCCACTGAACTGCGACAAACCATCATTGATAAATATGGCATTCAAAGGAAAAAAACTCGCATTCATTCGTTACGACCGTGTCGTCGGCTGTCGCATTTGTGTCATGACCATGTCATGATAACAAATGTTCCTGTTATTGCTCCTCTGTGTATTCTCCAGTCCATTGTGAATGTGATCTTTATCACATACATAGATAGCGTACTATGTATGTGCTATTACCATTTTCGGAGATTAAGCTCCGAATTTTTCACCATGGCATTACTATTGATTTCTGTTGCAAGTTCTAATAATGCAAATCCATAAAGAAAGTTCTTATCGTACCCTTTTATCCATTTGTAAAATTCATAATATATATCAATGTTCGCTCATTACGTTTTTTTGAGCTGGAGACTAAGTAAATTTGTTTTAGTTGATATAATAAGAATTTAGAAATATTTTCCTCTTTTATTTATTTTTTAAATCGTGTTTGTTCACAGAAATCGAAATAAATAAGCAATTTATTTAGATTTCCGTGTATTTACTTATGTATTATGTATATGTAGTATTTTATGTAAAGCTTTTTTGTCGTAAGAAATAGGTAAAGAAGAAAACAATGAGTGTCGTGGGTTCCAAACTACCAAAATCGAAATTACCAATTTTTTTTGAATTATCGAAGAAAATAAATACCTGTTGATAATTATATCATGAGAGTTATCTGATAATTATTCATCCGTGCTGATGCAGTTTTGTCTCTTTAATTTTTTACTATAAATGACAAACACTGAGAAAACTAAATAAACATAGTAGTAGCAGCTTTATGTTGTTCCAATCGCATGCACGCACGCACGCGCGCACGCAAGCACGCAAGCAAGCACGCACCCAAGTAACCACGCACGCAAGCACCCACGCAAGCACGCACGCACGCACGCATGCGAACATGCGCACACATACACATAATGAAATTAAAATGTATGCACGGTACAATAATTCATACCCAATGTTAAGATACAGAATATCCTAGTTTAGTAGCTAGGAGATCACATTTAAATAGCATTTCTTCTCTTCTTGTACAACTATCGTTTTTTGTTGTCACGCACCTTGTAATGTCATTGTTTTTCTTTATTAAATAAATTATTCTTATTTTATTTATTTATTTATTTATTTGGCAAACCAACAGAATTGCATATCATACTTATTCTAAAGGTTACATTTTGCATTGTTCTAATATGTATTCCAATTATAGGTAAGCTCATTTTAAACCAAATGCTGACAGAAAAATAGGTACAAAAAAGGTATAAATATTTAAACAATTTTACATTATAATTGAAATATATTAAAAAATAATAATAATTAAATCTATATAATTAATAAAACTAAAACAATAAATATTATAACATTAATATTAATAATAATAATAATAATAAATGCAATTCAATAATTTTACAGGCATTTAACAAATTTAATTTCAATTTAATTACATATTTGATTGTGATGAATTCGTCACTTTACGACGAAAGTGGGAGGGCGTATCGTGAAAGATATCTATGTCACTACTTTTTTTACATAGGGTGTTGTACGCGTTGCATATTCTAGTGATTGGTGCATTACAACCTACATTTGTATGGCAAATTAGCGGAACAAAAATCCTATGAATTGGCTGCCGTGGCAGCTGGTGTGGGACGACGAGGTTGATTGCTGTCAATATTTCGCTACAAATAGTGATTCCACGAAGTATTTTATACAGGAACGTCAAATCCATTAGCAGCCTATTCTTATTATAATTATAATTAATTTTATAATTGTAAAGATAATTATCAAGATATATTTATCAAGATACTTATCGCGAGAATTATCACTTTCCATAACAGTAGCAGTGCCACTAAGAGTCGTATTCTAGAAATCTACTCAATGCACTAGAAATAATACTCAAGTCACCAGCACCCCTAACCTTCAAAACCAGTGAATCCTAGTTCCAAATATAAAATTTTAACATATATATACTATGGCAAGTCACGAATTATAAGTACCTTGCCACAGTCAAGCATTATGTCGCTTTTTGGCAACGTTCAAAGCGCTACCTAGACTTGCGTGACGAACCGACGACGAAAAGCTAATCACTCGCACGCATGTGAACATAGACATTGTAAATAATGGATATTAGACGCTTTTAAGGATTAACTTTAATATGGGCACTGCTAGTTGTGGACGTAAAATGTTTATCTTTTCCTATTTGAGTATAACGTCATGGTCTATTCTTGCATACAATTTGTGTTTAGAGATTCAACGTTGCATTTTGGCATAGATATCATAAGTAAAATATTCTAACAAAAAAAAAAGCCGTGTAGCCTAGTAGTTTGATCTTCCTCCTGGACGCCATTTTCCAATTGTCATGGTCGATCTGGACGTCTCTGAATAGCTTCGGATTTAGGTTGGTCGGAGCGGACGATTTGTTCAGGTGGAGATTTTCGGATGGTTCTGGACTGAACTGCTTGTGCGGTGCGACTCAAATGATGGCCCACCTCATATCGTGCCCTGCGTAACCTGTCACCTGCACGCTTCAGGATTTAATGGCGGCTGCTAGTGACGCGGTCAGCGTGACTGAGTTCTGGGCCACTATAGTATAATGTATGTGATCGATACAGTAAGAAGAAGAAGAAGAAGAAGAGTGGTTTGATCTACCACCTCTCAAGCAGAGGTTGTGGGTTCGTCTCTGGAAAACCTGTGAGTTGAGCTTTTCGGTGAAGGAAAACATAGTGATAAAACCTGCACGTGGAAGAAATTTCACGACCCTTGGAAAACGTGTGAAGTCCGCAACCGCAACCGCCTTGGGCTAGAGTGATGGACCGGAGTAAAACCCTCACCTGAGTGGAGACCCGTGCCCAGCAGTGGGACGTGTAAATGTGTTGATGACGAATAATGAAGTAAATTATTTATCCAATTTCATCTACTTGAAAAGTAAATAGTCAAGAATAGTACTAATTATAGTACCATATATATACATTATTAGGTTACAGCTTGAAAATACTATAAGCTAATAAAGTTAAAAATAGCTTCACCCATTTCTTTAACTTGACGTCGTTCGAAATGTCCTTCAACGTAAATTAGTGATTACAATGTTAATTTTCGAGAAATACGTCTGTGTACCAAAATAGGTAAGTTGTATATTGTACAACATGAAATACGAAAAGCCTTAACGATTATCGCGAAGTTTTATCTTTACTAACATGACATGTCAAAAAACAAAAGAAAGTCTGGAAAATAATGAACAAAATAAATATTTATTATTCAAATAATAAAGTCAGAAAAGTCTGTAAGTATGATAAATAAGGTTATTTATACCTAATAACTCGCTCTTTATCGTCGAACAAAGAAAAGTTGGTAATAAACTGGGTTGATTTTATCGCAATAAAACCTGTGTTCCAGAAGAAACCTTACTAAGTAACACCTGCTTTGTTATTTGAAGTTATTTGCCTTGACTTTTTGTAAGTACAAAAACACTCTGACGTAAATTGACAAAAGCGTAGCCCTCTGACGCAATAAAGGAACCAATAAAATTATACCACTACCTATGTTGTGAAAGTCGACCTATGTTTTATAACATGTTGTAATCTGTTTATTTTTTTTATCGCAACATTAGAAAAAGTTACTTGGTTCATGAGACAAATAGAAAAGCTGTTATCTTAAATTCAATTATAGTACACCAAGTTACATAAATAAACTTTCAATTTTGACATTTCTTTGGATTTGTTGACTCTACATCTAGGTCCATGCACAGCCAAAGTCAAAGTCAAGGTCAAATAATCAATTATTTATTCCGCAAGTAAAATTTTTCACTTGAAAACGTCACTTTTTAACCTATTATATACACAGCAATGATACGTTTGTGAGAAGATGATGCCTCTCTTTGCACTTAAATAAATCCTACCCCTATCATTTTGTATGCTAAAATAAGAAGTGTGAAAAGGCTTATTTATTATGATTTGTGAAAAGCTAAATGAAAGAGCGAACATGTAATGAAGTGGCAGGGCGACGCCCTGACCGACTGATTGACGTAATGTC